CTATTCTGTGGCAAGTACTGTTCTAGGAGCTGGGGATATTTCAGTGAACAAAATGGAGCAAACCTTTAACGTAATATTCCATACAATGTAAATTCCATCATATTTTAGAGGTAATAGATACAGAAAGGAAATTGGTTTGAGCAAGGAGGCTGGGAGGGGAATTGGGCTAGAATGTTACATAGGGTGTTCAAGATAGGGCTCATTGAGGGTGACATGCGAGATGATAAACATGAGTTCTAGGAAAATCACTTGTCATCCTATGGCTAGATAATCAAGTGACCACTAGCCTAACCCATGTTTCTTCTAGAGTCGCTTCCCCGCAGTTGGCCTTTATAGCTGTGCACAAGACAGAAGAGAGCAAGGGCTAATTAGAGCCCCAAGTCTGGCCCTCCTCACATACCTGGAGCCAGGTTTCCCTACTTCAGAGCAAGTGCTTGCCACTGGATTCATTTATCACTGCCAACTCTTATCCATCAGCACCCAGCCTCCCGTGGAGCCTCTAAGGATAACACACTCCCTATAGTCTTCTTTTTCATTCAAATTGCATGTCACTCAGATTCTAAAAGCTCTATAAGAGTGAGAGGGTTGAAAAAGTTTATTTCGGAGGACTGGCACCCAAGGGCTGCCACAATTGTTGGCATTCCAGGGCACAGGAGATATTTGGCAAGAAACAACAACAAAAACAAACTTTTAAACACGACTTGGGGGGATCCCTGGGTGGCGCAGCGGTTTGGCGCCTGCCTTTGGCCCAGGGCGCGATCCTGGAGACCCGGGATCGAATCCCACATCGGGCTCCCAGTGCATGGAGCCTGCTTCTGTCTCTGCCTCTATCTCTCTCACTCTCTCTCTCTGTGACTATCATAAATAAATAAAAATTTAAAAAAAAATAAATAAATAAACATGACTTGGTTCTAATTTCAAGATTCTCAGGCATCAAAATACATAGGACTTTAGGAAAACAGTAAGCCCCTTATTTTCCTTAGTTTCAAAAGACCATGTTCATTCACTTTCCAACCTTTTCTTTCTAGAAGACCTCTCCTTTTTCTAGCCTCTGTTCTTTTGTAGGAACAACTTTGAAATACATGGAACAACCTCACTTAAAGGTTTCCAGTTTGAGGTTCCAGGGGAGAATAAAAATGATACCCATGCCAGTCCCTTCAATAAAGTAACCCAGTAGAGTTCAGTCTCCGCTGTGAATAGATGCAAAAGAGCTCCCAGCACTTGCACTGGGAAACCTTATATTAAATAGTACACTACATATTTCTAGGCTCATTTCAGAGTCCTTAGAACAAAAACTACTAAATATATTATAAAAGCATCAACAGGGGGATCCCTGGGTGGCTCAGCGGTTTGGCGCCTGCCTTCAGCCCAGAGTGTGATCCTGGGGTCCCAGGATCGAGTTCCGCATTGGGCTCCCTGCGTGGAGCCTGCTTCTCCCTCTGCCTGTGTCTCTGCCTGCCTCTCTCTCTCTCTGTCTCTCATGAATAAATGAATAAAATCTTAAAAAAAAAAAAAAGCATCAACAACCTGACCTCTAGAAAGAGACTGCAATGACATTATCTAGAAAATGAGGCACTCTGATAAAAAGCCCCTGGGAGGCACATACTCTTAGGGCCTAATTACTCCCCAGGTTCAACTAAAGCACGATCAGATCTGAAACTTTCTTTCTCTTTTGGTTTCTAAGGTGCTGCTGCAGCTCAGGGAAGGCCACGGGGAATTCCTTTACCAGGGCTACTAGGAGACAGCTTAGCACATTCAGGCATCCTGAGGCCCTGTTCTCAGGGCCTCACAGGAGCCAGTGAGCAGAAGAGAAGCATGGAACTTTAGAATTTTATTACCTGATTCTGGGACCACATTCATGACCTGGGTGCCTGGGACCTAAGCAGCTGGCACAGAGTGACAGGGGAGTGGGGGAGATGAGATAAGGGCCCTCATCAGCTTCTCATGCAATTCATGGGAAACATGGAGTGAACAGAAAGGAAAGGTCACTTCAGTAATGAGCTCCCAAGAAGCCTCTATGGCAAAAGGATGGTGCTATCCACAGGCTAGGTTTCAGGGTGAGCACACAACCAAGTTTCCTAGGACAGTCCTGTTGATGGGTGCCTGCCATGCAGGCAGTTATTAGGAGCCCCCCATTTCATTTTCCTAAGTGTCACAGTTTGGATAGTAAAGTATATGGTTCACCTAAGGAAGTGTGACGGAGTTCCTAGAGCTAGTATTTTGCTAGTTTACCTGTTTCTTGGGACACATATCTCTCCAAGCCCACCTCTGGTTTCAGGACATACTATGAGCAAATTCTTCCCATGTCTAAACCCAGCAGTGGGAGAGCCGGCAGTGCAGCATGGTGAGGTGGAGCCCGGCTACCTGGTTTTATATCCCAAGTCCTTCACATTTAACAACAGTGAGACTGTGGACAAGTTCTTTATAACATCTTCCATTTGAAATAAAAAAATGAGAATAAAAAAAAAATAAATAAAAATAAAAAAAAATGAGAATAAAACTAATGGCTGAGCTACTATTTGTAATCAGTTAATATTTGTAAAGTGCTTAGAACAGTGCTTGACACAGGGAAAGCACTCTATAAATGTCTGATAAGTAAAAAACAAATATGCAGTCTTTGTGTCTCCTAGGTAAGTGAATTTCTATAAAGAGATGGTGAGACAGGGGAGGAAAGCCCTTCTCAGAACAGTTTCTAGTTTCCCCCCCTACTCAGGGGCTTCTTGCCGGAATAAATAAAACCTCTCTGCCCGGTCCTGGGTGGTGCTGGCTGGGAAGAGAGTGCTGCGGGGCTGGAACGGAATAACCGCCGCCAGCTAGTATATAATCAACCACACTACAACTACAATTGAACCGGGGCAAGCAGAACAAAGAAACAGAGGCAACTGCCCCGGGTTGCAGGTGGCCGTCAGAGGCCACCAAAGGGCCCCATCAATAGTTTTATGTGCTTAACGTAAAGAGAACCCTTTGCCTCCTCACATACTTGGCCACTGTGATTGCCCACTTATGTATGTGATTCGGGACTTCAATAGCATCAAAGATGCTCTGACAACAGCCAATTTTAGATGAAAACATCTCAGCATCTATTTCACGGATAAAATTCCATGTGATGAAATACAAAAAAAGAAAAAGAAAGAAAGAAAGAAAGAAAGAAAGAAAGAAAGAAAGAAAGAAAGAAAGAAAGAAAGAAAATCTCCTTAATTCCTCAGACACCTCTCCACCAGAAACAAAATAGGTGCTTAGGACAATCTTGTAAAAGTGGGCTACACCACACGATCCCATTAAAGACAAAAATTACCAGTTATCTAGCTATTTGACTTGTGAAAGCACCAGCCCAGTCATTTCAGTTTCCCTGTTGTCACAGTTCCGCCTTTGAGATTGTGTCAACTTTCCGGACATGATCTGAACACCCTATTAAGATGATAAATTCCTATGCAACAAAACAGCTTTGTTGGAAAGAACTGGGTCCCTGAGGCAGTCTTGACTACATAACAGGGCACAGCACCACATACACTGAAGACCTAGAGGAAGCCAGGCAGTGGGATATTAAATTTTATCAAGAGCTGATTTTAAAAGGGGATTGGGAGGGGGCCTTGCATTCCTAAGTACAGATGCATTGGGTTTTGGGTAAACAGTTGTCTCAGACTCACTTCTCCATAGCTCTGTCTGGTGCGTCACGGCCGAGATGTGATTTCTAAGGTCTTAAAATTCTGACCAAATGCAAAGAATGCAAGCGAAGAGGCACCCCGCCAAAAAAAAAAAAATATATATATATATATATATATTTTTTATATATTTTTATATAAAATATAATAATTTTAATTATTTAATTTTTTATAATTTATTTAATTTTATATAAAAATATATTTTTATATATTTTATATATATATATATATATATATATAAAGAACAAAATAAACAAAAATAAAAAGCCTGGCGCAAGAAGCTTTTCCATCAGCCTCCCTTCCGAGTGCCAAGAACACGCTCCCTCCCAACATTCCCTGATAATTATTTTTTAATCAGCTAAGAAAGCCAAGTCACTTCCAGCACAGACACCCAATATTAAAGAGTTCTCCAACCCTCTGGAATGGAAAAGACAGGAAGGGGCGTCAGCGTTCACCACCCATTTAACTCCGAGGTCATTGATTTAAGGCAAATTTCCTCCAAAACAATGCAGCTGAGCAGGGAGTTGCGTGAACCCTAATCCAGACTCCACACCCCAGAGGATCCTATTAGCTCACATTGCAAAGAACCTGCTTGAGCAAAGACGGGGAGCCCCCCCCCCACCTCGGGGGCGCGACCTTCCAGGCCCGGGGCGCGGGGTGGGCGGGGGCGAGGGCACGAGGGGCGCTCCCACCCTCCCGCGCGGCGAGTCGCCCCCAGGCTCCAGCGAATCGCGCCCAGCACCCAAGTCTCCGAGGGATTTCTCCCCGGGACCTGAAGCCCGCGCGCGCTCCACCTGACCCCACGTCCCGGGGCGGCGGGGGCCCAGGGCCCGGGGCGCGGCGCCCGCGGGGTCGCACCTGCACCGCCCGCCGCGGAGCCGCCCCACCCTGCAGCCTCCAGCCTCCAGCCTCCAGCCTCCAGCCCCGCCCGCGCCTGCGCCGGCCCCCGCCCCCCGGCCCCCGCCCCCGGCCCCCGGGCACCACCCCGCGGGCACCACCCCGCGCTCCTCGGCGGCGCTCGGGGTGCGAGGCTCAAAGGCCACACCTGGGTCTCCCCGGCCGCCGCGAGCAGCCCCGCAGCGCGGGAGAAGGGCCGTGGGGGAGACCCAAGGGCAGGGGCGCGGGCGGGGAGGCCCGGGAGCCGGGGCAGGCCGGAGGGGCCGTCGGGCGCCCGCACACGCAGGTCCGCGCGGCCGCCCGCCGCCGCCCGCCTCTCGGGTCCGCACAGGTGGTCCTCGGGGCGTCCGCGCCCCGCACCCGCGCAGCCCGGCATTGTTCGCGCTCGGCGGGCGCAGCTGCGAGGCGCCCGGGGCGGCGCGGCCCGGCCTCGGCCCCTACCTCCACGAGCAGCCCGAGCAGCAGCGCCGCCACCCTCCGGGGCAGGCGGCCCATGGCTCCGCGTCCTCTCCGCGCTGCGCTGCTGTCGGGGCGCGGGCGCAGGTCGGCAGCGCGGGCCCGAGCGGTGCGCGCCACAGCGGAGCCGCGGCGGGGCTCAGGCCGCGGACGGCGGGGCTGCGGGGCGCGGGGCGGCGGGCGGGCGGCGGGCGGCGGGCGGCGGGCGGGTGGGCGCCGAGTCTGGCGGCGCCGTGCAGCCCTCGCCGCGCAGCCCCGGCCGCGCCCCGCCCACGGGCCCGCCCACGGGCCCGCCCACGGGCCCGCCCACGGCCCCGCCCCCGCGCTCTCGGCCCCGCCCCGCGCTCCGCCCCCGGCCCCGGCCCCGGCCCCGGCCCCGGCCCCGGCCCCGGCCCGCGCGCGCTCCCGGCCCGGCTCCCCGACCCCAGCCCCGCGCCCCGACCCCACCCCGCGCGCGCTCCCGCCCCGCCCCCGCCCCGGCCCCGCCCCTCGCGCCCCCGGCCCGCCCCGCCCTCCTGGGCACGCGCCCGCGGGCACCCGCTCCCAGCCCGCGCCGCCCTCCGGAGCCGAGCCGGGGGGGCCCCGAGGCCCGGCGAGCGCGGGACGAGCTGGCGGGTGGCTCGGGCCCCGGCGGAGCCCGACCCGTCACCCTTGAATAGACCCGGCAAGATGCTGAAGGAGGCGAAGTCTCCGCGCGGGGGAGCCCGTTTCGGGGGCGCTGTCGGTGGACCCGCAGCATCCCCGGCCTCCGTGCGTCGCTCTCCCGCCGATTCCCACCGACGGCGGGCGCCGGGGTGACGGCCTAGGGCGAGGGCGACAGGCCGGGACTAGAGGGCCCCTTGCACCGCGCCCCCGGCGTAGATGCCGGCGCTTTGAGCCCCGCGTTCTCTTCCCGGCCCGGCCTGCACCCCGCCACAGGTGGCCCCACGGGGGCCGGGTCTGGGATGTCCTCGGGCTCTGCTGCAGCCCCCCTCCGCCTCCACTCCCTCCCTCCCACCGTATTGTTTTCACAGCGGGAGTCAGATCCCAAGTCCTCGGGGCCGTTATTCAGTAAGCCTCCGTGTGGCCCCGAGCTGGAGCTGGAGGGCCAGTCTACGGAGGTGGGCAGGAAGACTTAATTCGTGACGTTTAAAGGGATCGTCGCTTGCAGGGTGCTGAGCGGCGGGACCCAGGCTCAAGGGTGACCGAGCAGCAGAAAGGACGGGAGCCTCCCCGTGACTGGACGTAGAGGAGGGAGTCATGGAAACACACAGCACCTAAGACTAGTCCCAGACGCTTTCTGGCCTTCGTCACGTGTACTCCTCTGATGACTTTAAAATATGCAGCACTGGACTGTCCCTGTTAGAACCAAAACTTGCAAGACGAGCAGGAAAGGTGACTGTGGGCTTTATCGTCTCGGTAGGGGCACCCATCAGACAGGCCCACCAAGAGTCTTTGGACTCTCCTCACTATGACCTACTCTTTACGATTAGGGCATTTTACTGCTCTTTTAAGTGCAGAAGTCAACTTGCAGAAAATGAAGCCGCAAGCCTGGTTATATAACGAAGATGCAAAAAGTTGTTTTCTCCAATGACAATGTAAATGATCTCATCCTATAAAAATACAAACGACCTCTGCTAGGGTCAGAACCTTAGTCAGTGTTCTAATTTATCAATCTCATCCCAAGAGTCGTCCCCCACGTCCCCCTGCTTCATTGGCTATATCCACACCAGTTGCCTTCATTGTGCTCAGCAGCTGGGTATCCAAGCAGTCCCTCATTAGTAGACGCCTGATGTGTGTGTACCATGTAATGGCATGTATTGCTCTGTATGTGAATTACATTTTCGTTCCGTTTTGAACATTATGCTAATACCTCCCTCCTGGATCTCTATCTCCACTGAGAAGATGGTTTTGCTGAGTTTCACTTCCTGTAACTCATATCAATTTATTTCAAAATGCGAAGATTTTTACAAAGCCTGTGCTTTCAAAATACAAAATACAAACTTTGTGATGCTTTCTTCCCAATCTAATATCTCTCCTATTTGCCCTCTTCGTGGTCCCAGATGGTGGGTGGCCGCTTGGCGTGAGTGGGTAATGGGGTGAGGGCTGGCCGGCCAGGCTATTTCCCTGAATACAAATCATATAAGAGCCCACAAAGGCTCTGAAGAAGTATCAAGATGAAGAAAACTCTACTACAACAACTCTCAGGTAGGATGTGATTTGGGGTTGGGAGAAATTCTCTGATCTGTTGTTTGGGACAGGACTAGACCTGCCACAGGCCTGCTTACCTGCTCCTGATGAGGGAAGACCCCAGGACCTGGGCTTTTGTGTGTCAAAGGAAGCAAATGCAGGAGCCACTGGGCTTGAGCTGTAGTCCCCTTGCAGAGTTCAACTCTCCTCACATGGAGTGTGCAAGAATGATGGGCATGTATTTCATTTATTCCATCAATTGTTCATCCACACCTTCTTTCAGCCAGGCCCTCTTGTGGGCATTGGGGATAATAGCAGTAAACAAAATAGACCTAGTAGCTGTCCTCTAGATTGAAGTGTGGAGGCGAGGGATAATGGATAATTAGAAATGAATGAATCAATCAATCAATGCATGTCAGATTATAAGTGCCAGGAAGAAAAATTAACTATGTGAAACATTTAGGAGGTATGGCAGGTATCACTGAAAATAGGACTGTCAGGCCAGGCCTCTACAGCAAATTGCCAGGAGCAGAGACCTACAGAGAGGAAGGAGAACTGAATATGACTATTAATCAAAGGTCCTAAGGCAGGAACAGCTGGGGCCTGGGGAACTTTCCGACAGAATCAGTGGGGTGAGGCCCTACCCTCCTCTAGAGGTGGTAGGTGGGACTCGAATTCAAAGACAAAATGGGGCTCAGATTGGTGGTCAATTGTAAGAATTTGGGGTTTAGTTCCGAGAGAAATGTGATGTTTGAGGATTTTGAGTTGGAAAGTAACATGATCTGGCCTGTGCTTTAAAAGGATAAACCCCTTTCCGTGTAGAAAACAGACCACTCCAGGATGGAGAAAGGCTAAGGGAAAGGCAAAGACTGGAAGAACAGTGGGGAAACTGACACAATAGTCCAGGCAAGTGATGGGATGACTTACAATGGGAGTGGAGGTGGAGAGAAGTGCTTGGATTCTGGCTGTAGCTTGACCCTGATGATGCGTATAGTTGTTCTAATTAAAAAAAAAAAAAATGACAAAAACCCCATCACCTATTTCACCCATCCTCCTACTCACCTCTCCTCTGATAACCAATTTGTTCTCTATAGTTAAGAGCCTGTTTCATGGTTTGTCTTCTTTTTTTTTTCCTTTGCTCATTTGTTTTGTTTCCTAAATTTCACTTATGAGTAGGATCATATGGTATTTGTCTTTCTATGACTTATTTTGCTCAGCATTATATTCTTTTTTTTATAATAAATTTATTTTTTATTGGTGTTCAATTTACCAACATACAGAATAACACCCAGTGCTCATCCCGTCAAGTGCCCCCGTCAGTGCCCGTCACCCATTCACCCCCACCCCCCGGCCTCCTCCCCTTCCACCACCCCTAGTTCGTTTCCCAGAGTTAGGAGTCTTTATGTTCTGTCCCCCTTTCTGATATTTCCCACACATTTCTTCTCCCTTCCTTTATACTCCCTTTCACTATTATTTATATTCCCCAAATGAATGAGAACATACACTGTCCTTCTCCGATTGACTTATTTCACTCAGCATAACACCCTCCAGTTCCATCCATGTCGAAGCAAATGGTGGGTATTTGTCGTTTCTAATGGCTGAGTAATATTCCATTGTATACATAGACCACATCTTCTTTATCCATTCATCTTTCGATGGACACCAAGGCTCTTTCCACAGTTTGGCTATTGTGGACATTGCTGCTATAAACATCAGGGTGCAGGTGTCCTGCTGTTTCACTGCATCTGTATCTTTGGGGTAAATCCCCAGCAGTGCAATTGCTGGGTCATAGGGCAGGTCTATTTTTAACTCTTTGAGGAACCTCCACACAGTTCTCCAGAGTGGCTGCACCAGTTCACATTCCCACCAACAGTGTAAGAGGGTTCCCTTTTCTCCGCATCCTCTCCAACATTTGTGGTTTCCTGCCTTGTTAATTTTCCCCATTCTCACTGGTGTGAGGTGGGATCTCATGGTGGTTTTGATCTGTATTTCCCTGATGGCAAGTGATGCAGAGCATTTTCTCATGTGCATGTTGGCCATGTCTATGTCCTCCTCTGTGAGATTTCTCTTCATGTCTTTTCAGCATTATATTCTTAGCTTCATCTATGTTGTTGCAAATAGTAAGATTTCATTCTTTTTATGGCTGAGTAATATTCCATATATATATTTATATATATATATGAGTATGTTAGAGAGGTTAAAGGAAGAAAGGTGGCTAAGAGTATCAAATATGTATTAAAAATGTGAGTTTTAAAGTCCTGCTAAATCCCCTCCTGGAGTTATCTCTTTGCTAAATTTTGCAATCTTAGCAAAATGTCTGCATTATTATTCTGAATTAAAGTTTGGGAAAGTTTTATCTGTCAAACCTTTGAAACAATTTAGCAAATAAAATCCACCTCAATAATCCATTAAAAGTTGTGCTAAGCATAACCTAAATTTAAGATTGAGCATAGCCTTGCTTATTCCATCGTCCTCTAGAAATCCCCTTGACCACTTTTCAAGGCCCAGGTCTACACAAAGTGTTGCTAGATGAGCTGTGCCAAGTGATCTTTGGCTGCTTGCCTTGATTTGATCATTCCTGATTTATATCTGCTCTGTCCTGTCAGTTCCTCAAAACTATTTTCCACCTTTCTGTCTCCCCAAAATAATTGAAAAGTCACCATGTTGAGGGGCCACTGATATTTCCTTTTTTGCTAAAGCAAACTCTCCTGATTAAGATTATATAAGTTCAGGATGCCTGGGTGGCTCAGCAGTTGAGCATCTGCCTTTGGCTCAGGATATGATCCTGAAGTCCCAGGATCGAGTCCCACATCAGGCTTCCTGCATGGAACCTGCTTCTCCCTCTGCCTATGTCATCTCTCTCTGTCTCTCTGTGTGTCTCTCATGAATAAATATATAAAATCTTTTTTAAAAAAAAAGACCATATAAATTCAGGACAGTGTCTATCTCTTATGGCATAGAGAAGAGACAAATGGTAGACAATAGCTCTGGGATGATTCAGACAGTC